TCTCTGTCTGTCTCTCTGTCTTTCTCCTCTCTCCTCTTTCCTCCCTCTCTCCCTCCCTCCCCGGTGTTATTTCATCATAATACTCTAAGACCCATCTCACTTTTCTGTGCCTGAGCATCTAGTTGGGCGAGGTCAGGGCTTTGTATCCTGTAGTCCAGTGAGTCCCCTTCCATTGCTGTCACATTTGTAGCACGCCCCCCATCGCTTAGCCCCTCACCCAGGGCCCTCAGCACAGTTGGCCTTGTTGCAGTTCCTTGTCACTGTGCACTCCTCCCCATAATACACTCTCTGCCTGGACACAGCTCTTTCACTTCATGTACACCACACACCATCTTGCCTTCCAGCCCTGTACTTCTCCCATATTGCTCCTGTTGTGTCTCACTTGACAGAATGTAATTATTGGTGTGTCTTCTTATTTGCTTAAGATCTACCATCCTGATACGTTACATGCATCTCCGAGAAGATCAGGATTCCACTTCTCTTCCATGTAGTTCCACTACCAGACATGGTTTAATATCAAGCAGAGGTCATTAATGCCTGCTAAATGAACCAACTGAAGAATGAAGGAAATGACAAACCTTGGATGATGGCTATGACCATAGCTGCTTTCTGGTTCTTGCTCTATGTGAGACTTTTAGAACCAGCCTCTTCCCCACATAGTATAGGCTGAGCATCAGCCCATGTTGGGCTGCAGACAGCAGGTCTCTGTAGCAGAGGTCAGTAAGTGGGTGAAGGTGGAGGCTAGGACAGAGTGGGAGGTGCAGCCAGCTGGAGACACTGCCTCTCTGAGGGCCGCTGCCTTGCCTGTTGCAGCATAATGCACCCTTCAGACATTCTACCCAACTCAGAATTGAGCCTAGTGCCAGGCTTTGCCTCTGCTGATGATCTCTTTGTCTTTTCATTTAGTACTAACTTTCCTTTTCCCTCTGACCTTGTAAATTTGGCCTGTTGTCTCAGAGAATGTCTCAGTCCCTAGATTTCTATCTTTCCAGGGGTGTCCTTTGCATTGTTTCTTGATCTTCTGGGTTTCCCATGGGTCAGGTTAAATCTAAACAATTGATGTTGCCCTGTAAACAGTTTGGGTCAGTTCTGTGTCCTAGATATGCAGGACAATCTCCGTTGCATCACTCCACGTACTATCTGGGTGATCCAAGGCTGAGTAAGTACGGAACTAGGGTCCTGGTTCATTTTAGTAAGATCACCGACTGACACA